GATGATGGATGGATGATGGATGGATGGATGATGGATGGATGATGGATGGATGATGGATGATGGATGGATGATGGATGGATGGATGATGGATGATGGATGATGGATGGATGGATGATGGATGATGGATGATGGATGAATGATGGATGGATGATGGATGAATGATGGATGGATGGATGATGGATGGATGATGGATGGATGGATGATGGATGGATGATGGATGGATGATGGATGATGGATGGATGATGGATGGATGGATGATGGATGGATGAATGATGGATGGACGTTGGATGGATGGATGGATGATGGATGGATGATGGATGGATGATGATGGATGGATGGATGATGGATGGATGGATGGATGATGATGGATGGATGATGGATGGATGGATGATGGATGGATGAATGGATGATGGATGGATGGATGGATGATGGATGGATGAATGGATGATGGATGGATGAATGGATGATGGATGGATGGATGATGGATGGATGGATGATGGATGGATGGATAGGCCTGTCACATTAATCAGTAAATGAATGAATCCCATGATGAATCAAAATGAGGTTGATAATCATTACTTGTTTTGAGTGAACTCTCAGGTCAGGAGCTGCTCCTCTGCAGGACAGATGGAGCCAGCTGGGACTGAGGAGGCAGAAGTGATTTTACAGCTTCTGCAGCTGTTGTTGTTGTTGTGTGTTGTTTTCTAAATATCCAGTCCAGAACCTTTTTTTACACGTGAATTTCATAAGCTTTGTAAGCAGGGGTGTGTGTGTTTCTGGTATCATTGTATTAGGTTAAATCAGTCTCCAAATGATATTATTGTTTATCGCAATAATTTCTGAGACAATTTATCGTCCAGCACAATTTATAACTGTGACAGACCTACAAAAGGATGGATGGATTGCTATGGTAGTAGCTGAGTGTCATCCCTCCAAACAGATACAATTCTGTCCCAGCATTCAGTAAACTGGCAGTCTGCCTGAGAGGGACGCGCTGAAACTAAATCTGAAGATAGTTTTTTTTATTTCTCTGTAAATAATAAAGCCTCGAATGCCTCTTGTACTTCTCCTGCCCGCTCTAATTTTGGTGCCACAAACAAATCAGCACTTCTTCACTGAAGGACAATACACCAATCAGTGGCGTCTGCTGCTGTTCTTTCACTTCATTATACGCCGAGTCGCCACGTGGCTTTTATGTGTTCCTACCAGCGTGGCTCTGCTGAAAACATAATTAAAAAATGCATTATTAATCTACTCCTGGTGGCACAGAGACTAAACAAAACAGCATAAATTTCAGCCTGCATCTGCGCACACGAGACTGTGTGTGTGTGTGTGTGTGTGTGTGTGTGTGTGTGTGTGTGTGTGTGTGTGTGTGTGTGTGTGTGTGGGTCTATTATCTCCCTGACTCCTGACTAATGTTTAAGCCACATCTGCTCGTAGTGGAGATGCCTTGCAGTCAGCCATATCTGTGCCCGGACCATCCATCTGGCTCCGGCAGAGCAGCAGATGGATGACGAGGAAACAATCAGCACCACCGGTTCAAACCTCAGGCTCCGAGAGCACCGATCATCACCCACGCTGAGGAGAATCACAGCCGGGCAGAGAGAGAGCACACAGCCACAGCCAGAAAACAGCTATTAGAAACACTGATGGATGTTAGCTGGAAGAGGGCAGGTGAGCGGTTACCTTCAGGTGCAGGTGAAAGAAAAAAAAAGTTTAAATTAAACGAGCCCTATCACCTTAAAGAACCAATCCCAGAGAGCCAAAGCCCACCCTGAGGTGCCAAAGTGACAACTCTCCACTTCATTTCTGATAGGGAGCTGAGTGTCGACAGCCTGACCTCACGTCTGAAGAGTGACGGTCCGTTCACAGATCAGAACCTGTACCGGAGCGGCTCTGTCCAGCTTTCATTTCCTTCACTTCTACATGAAAACTACCTGATGTCTGAAGACAGTTATAGTCAAGAAGTGACCTAAAGCGGTTTAAATTAGGATTTAACGATGATTCTGTGAGCTGTTTTATTTATTTATTACAACATCAAAAGGTTCGGGTTGATCAGGAGTACGGAGAATACTTTCAGTATTTGTAAAATTTATACTTTTTGAATAATTTTATTTTATTTTCAAAGATTTTCCCCAAAAAATACATTGAGATGTATAGAAATAATCTGAAATACTCAAATTGTTAGCTTTTAGCTACTGCCTTACTAATTACATTTAGCTATTTTAGGTTTTAGTGTTGGTTTTGTTTATGTTTGCATTCAGCTACAGTTTTACTACATTTAGATTGTAGCTATAGTTAAGCTGATGTTAACTTTGACCTGCGGTTTAGTAAATTTTAGCTTTTAGCTACTGTTGTGCTTATTTTAGCTTTGGTTAGTTTTTTCAAACAGTTGGGCTTTAGCTGCTTTTTAAACACACTTTCTCTTCTGCTCTGCTAATTTTAACTGGTTTTGTGAGGTTTAGCTTTTAGCTACTGTTTTTTTTCTTAATTTCAGCTACAATTTTAGCTTTCAGTTATGATTATGTTCATTTTTGCATTTAGCTGCAGTTTTGATAGATTTTGCTTTTAGCTACGGGTAGGCTCATTTTTACTTTTACATGTGGTTTTGTGAATTTTACCCTTTTGCTACTGTTTAGCAAGTTTTAGCTACCTTTTTTTTTTGCTTATTTTAGTTTTGCTAGGTTTTTCCTACAGTTACACTTTAGGCGCTGTTTTGACACTAAGCTTTTTCTTCTGTTTTGCTAAGTGTAACTTTACCTACTGTTTCAAATTTCAGCTTTCAGCCACTTTTGCTAATTTCAGCTTTAAGTTATGGTTATGCTAATTTTTTGCTTTAGCTATAGTTTGGCTACTTTAACAACAAATTGCACACAAAAAATGTAATTTTCTTGTCTTTGTTACATTTTAGTAAGTTTTAGTAAGTTTTTACAACAGCTGGTGATTTTATTTCCTAACAAATAAAGCCTAAAGTGTTTCTAGATGCTGCCACTAAATACGTTTTTTATTTTGGTATGTCTGAGTTTATTCTCAGTCTATGTACTCTTTCAGGCAGATTCAGCTCCAAATACAATCTTTTCCTCCCACTTCTTGCGCTCCGACTCTAAAACATCAATATGTTGTTTCTGTGAGCAGACAGGAGAGGGAATCTAAACTAAAATAAAACAACTCAGCTCAACGTCATCCTGTAAAATAATCACAGCCAGCAGCTCAGCTGGGCTGTATTTTAAATAAAAAGCAGTTTTAGTTGCACATTTGCAGACAGACTCAAACAGGACAGATGAAGCAGGAAAAGCAGCTCATCTTTATTTTTATTTATTTATTTTAGTTATTAACGTGCACAGAACTCTCTGTAAGGATGATTTATTTATTTTTTTTTACACCTATTTGAAATGTGTTCCTATCAATTTATATATATTTTTGATTAGAGTGCATTTAAACAACTACTTTTGTTTGGCACTTAATGAAATACTTTTTCATTTTTACCACCAAAATAAGAGTCTGTGGTTATAGTTGGGTTGATAAACTAATACGGCCTTTTTGATAACAGCAAAAATTCACTCAGCTGCTCACAAGTTTACAAAAACGACTGGATGTTACCAAACCAGTGGGCTGGAAACAAAAAGAAGACGTTTAATTCATCGAGCTAACATCAGCTTTAATCATAGATCAGAAAATTTGCTTGTGTCACTAAACGGGAAGGTTGTAGCTAATTAACTGATTTGTGCACGTGATCGTTGTTCAATGAACTCAGAGGAGAAAAAAGCTCAACATGCACACCGGAAAGGGGAAAAGAGCAAATCCTTTCCAGAGAGCTGTGAAGCTAATAAGGTTTTACGTTAAGTTTTAAGTGTTTTTGTCACTTTGGCCCCAGAAAGAGGAGGATAAACCCAGACTGGAAGAAGAATGAAATGAGTTTGGATGACACAGTCTCATACTCTTTTTAACAGACGTCCAATAGCGCTTCCCTCTTTCTTCTGCAAAACGTTTCAAAGTCACAAAACAAAACAAAAATAAATAAATAAAGGTCAGTTGGTGTTTGAGGTGGACGAGTACGAGGACATTTTCTGCAGCTGCTCATTCCGTGTGCGTTTGTGCACAACAAACCTTGCTGCGAGCGTCAACGTTGAGCAGACAGACTCCACAAGCCAGCTCTTTGGGATTCTTGATACCGGGCCTCAGAATACACGAGGAGAAATCCAGGGAGCTTTCATCAGGCTACACACACAGACACACACACACAAATATAACACAACCACAATTTACTTCCAGCTGCAGGGCAAGATGTAGTCACTTCTGTTCTTGTAAAAACAGCGCTGCTTACATAAAATATCTCCTTGCAGCATCAACATTTTTACAGACTTTGCATAACTTTAACTCAGAGAGTAAAAATAAACACATCTCATGTTTAAGCCTCTCTTTTTCTAAAGTTGTTGTTTGTGACATGTGAAAACTGATAATTATTTAAAAAGTTGTATAAGGTTATTGCATTTTTTACTAAGCACATTGCCTTTTTTTACTGATGCAATGCAGTTTGGGGAGGATGATGGGCTGCAGTTGCAGCTATGAGTCTGTTTTATAAAACTCTTGCAAATAAATAAATAAATCTATGCACCTTTTGTAATGTGAAAACTGGCCCAACAAGAAAACTTGAGCAGCACTGCGTTTAAATCAATGAATCATTGATTTTTTTTCAACAGAGCAACCACACTTTGTGTTAGAAGGAGAATTTGTGATTCGACCTCTGATACGCTGTCAGCAGGTGTGGTAGAACACGTCTGCGTTAACAAATCATCTTACAACAAGCTTGGCCAGCGACATGAAGCTGACGAGGTTGTTCCACACGCGGCTGATGTCCTTCAGCAGCTGCTGCAGCTTCTCGGAGCAGACCGCTGTCGCCTTGATGCCCAGCTCCACGCGCCTGGTGACGCGATACACCTCCACCACGCCTGAGGGACGAAACACGCAGAACGTCAAACAAAATGTCCCGTTTTGTCTCGTCTCTTCAGGTTCTTTTCTTAGTGTGTCGGACTTTATATGCAAAGGTCAAAATTTAACAGAAAGATTTAATTCCTAATATGTTCCTACCTGTCTTACCTCAGCTAGCTGCTTTTATTCTGCTCTCTTTTTAGCTGCATTTTTATTCTACTTTAATTATGACCGCCTCTATGAACTGGGCAGCTGTTCTGGTTTCACGGTTCAGGACTCTGATGTGTGTGCAGAAGGCCTGGTTTCTCACCCAGCAGGTACTCCATGCCCTGAGCGGACTGGATGACCTCGGTGCAGACAGAGGAGCTGCTGATCCCGTTCAAGGTGTTGTTCGCTTTGGTGATGACCTTAATGTGGAGAGACAGGAGTCGGCGTTGTGGATTTTGTTCGTCGTTCTTACCGTTCGCACAAAATAAGCCTCGTGAGGGTATTCTCTATTAGTTTTAGAGTTTAGTCACAAAACAAATGTGGCAAACAAACCTCCAGAGCACTTTCCAAACACCTCTGCCACTCGTACGCGTAACGCTCACTTTCCTGCAACAACACAACATAATGATCTCACGTGAGCACAAATGCGAAACAGAAGGAAAGCCGTTATTTTGCAGCTTCGCCGGTTTCTGTTTGTCTGTGGAGGACCTGCTCACCTCCACCTCCCCCGTCAGGTCTTTGTACTTGTCCCTGATGACGGGCAGGGTGGGCTTCTCGTTCAGCGTGTTGGAGCGGTCCCTGAAAGGCTGTTCCGGGGCCGGAGACGGGGGTGAGCGTCCGATCTCTTTCTCGCCCAAACTGTGGCTGCGTTTGTGGGAACCTGAGGGGATTAATAACATCTGAGACAAACTCAAACACAGAATTCAGGAACTCAACCTGAGCTGGGCGACGTTTGTTCGTGAGCAGGGTTGCTGTCCTTTTTGTTGTGGCCAGTTCCTCCCAGACGAGCGCTGGATGAGTAAACGCTTCAGCTCTGACAAACAATAATTAGGTATGAAACAGACCCACTAATACACTGTTATGAATAATTCACAGGGATTCACAGAGACAATCCTGCCAAGGCGCCACAACAAAAACATCCACAAACACGAGCCAACACTTGTCTACTTGAGTTTAAAGCATGTGTGTGAGGATTGACCAGAGACAGGTAATCTACCCCTAACTCTAACCTGCAGAGGCGTGCGTCACTGTCCCACAACCAGTGTGGTCAGATCACTGCCAAAGTGAAGTCCTCTTCTTCAGACTAATTAAATCCAGAGACGGGGAGAGGAAAACTGAGGCTTTTTATCTCCATGCAGGAAACTGTAATTAATTGCTGGCGGAACGCAACGCCGGCAAACGGCGGTTAAAAGAATGAGCGGCCTTAAAGTCGTTACGGTTAATTTCTGTTTATGGATTTGTTGGCCTCTGATAATCCATCTCAGCAGCCGCTGCCATTAGAGCGGGACTGTCATGGCAACACCACCATCTAATGTCTGACGGCTCGATTACAGAGCAGCAGTGGGACAGTGAGGAGAGGAAGACTGGAAAAAAGATGCTCGACAGGAAAGTCTTTGAAAAATGTCACTGGCTTTAGAACTGAAGACTACCCATATAAATATAAATATAAATATAAATATAAATACCCAGAGGTAGTAAATTAGGAGGATGACTCACCTTGAACAGACAAGTCAAAGGTTGCGAGCTCGCTCTTGATCATCTCCTCGCTGGACTTGACTTTGGCCTGAGCACTGGCTTTGAGGAAGTCAGACTTGCCAAATTTAGGCTTATCCCCCTGGAAGGCGCTGAACTCCTCTGAGGCCTCGGTTTGGCTTCCTTCAGACCCTGCCTCTGCAGCGGCAGCAGGCGAGTCCGATTTCTCAGAAACCGTGCTGGCAAAGTCTCCGAAGTCGTCGTCGTTATCGATGACGCCTCGATCGGAAGAGCCAAAGTCGGCGAAGGCCTTGAACTTGTCCCCTGCAGACGAGCCGGTCTCTACGGTTAAGAAGGCGGTGATCTTTGCTGTGGAGCCGTTTGTGATGCTTTCAGTGCTGCCGAAGCCGAGTTCCTGCCTCTGAGGTGGGACTAAAGCTGGAAAGGAAGCTCCCTCTGAGGCGTGGGACCTCCTGAGCTCGTTCTGCTGACTGTCCTCCTGCTCTGACCAGTCGTAGCTGGCCAGGCTGCTGAGACCCGACGTCCCAAAGGGGTCAAATTTCATGTCATCTCCTTCTGCAACGACAGCACATACATTCAAGTGGTTCCTGGGAACAGTACAGGTGTTATCGATGGAGAAAGAGGAGTAAAACTTCTGCAGGTCTGCTAGGCTTCGAGAACCTTAATCATTTCACCAACATTATGAAACATTTTGTACCTCAACTATCAGTCTGAACTCAAAGACACACTCGGGCCTCATCACTAAGCTGCCCCCATGTCTATAAATAATAAAGTTATCAGAACATGAGTGTCTTTTGTAATGCCTTTGACACAGCCGAAAAATGCTAACTATCAGTTGTTTATGGCTTTTTCAGTGTATGTTAGCATCTATGCTAATTTTTGGTCAGCAGCCTGCTTTTAAGAGGATTTTCTTACATGTACTCTTTATTAGCCGTGGATGATCAAATTTCATCAGTAATTATTAGGGGGTGTAAAAATACATCGATCTATATCAATATATCGATTTGAATGGTTCATGATTCAGTTATATCGAGGCAAAATGAAAATGTTGATCTATATGGTCATCGCATGCTTGATGGGAATCAATATCATACACCCACCTAACACAGTCATTATGTTAGGTGGGCGTATGATATCGCTTTATATCGATCGCAGACATGTGAATTGAACTTAATAGATATTTGTATCACGACAGACCGAATCGTCATCCAAACATATCGATGTAATATCGCATTGTGATAAAGCTGCTGATTTACACGCCTAGTAATTATTTTACACCCGGGGAGGCGACTGTGGCTCAGTGGTTAGAACAATCATCCTCCAACAAAAGAGTTAAAGGTTCGATTCCACCATTATGGAGCCCCTGGGCAAGACGCTGAAGCCCTCATTGCCACTGAAGTACCTCATTGGTGTACGAATGTGATTATTGGACCCTAGAGAATGATTTAGTCAGACTATTTTTGTAGAGATGTAGCAGAGTACTGTATATGAAAGACTTTGAGTGGCCTGGATGGATAGAAAGGCACCTGTTTACTGTTTCATTAAAGATTTCTACCCTTAAATGTGAAGTTGTGCTTTAGATTTCAACGGTAAACTACATGTGCTGTTCTTAACGTAATGTTAAAACCAGCTTTTTCCACTTCATTATTTCAGTTTCATGTCCTTTACGTTCTGGATGGACACTTCCTCCCTCCTTCATATTTCTACTCCAGAGTTCAGCTTCTCCAGAGAACAGCAGCTGTAGAAACACCACAGACCAAAATTTGTCCACGGTTCCCCTCTTTTATCTGTGGAAGCAGCCGTAATATGACTCCCACACCCGTCAAATATTTTGTGCTTTAAAGACGGGGAAACTAATTTTGCATTTAGCTGATTTTTTTTAATCCTGACAGTAATACCTACCCACTGTGTTAGAGAAAGACATGCTCCCTCCCACACTGTGGAGAATTCTGCTTAATAAAATATCTCGTTATTTTAATGCCGGGGGTGAATAACATTCATCCGACTGCTACATTAAAGCTGCTTTTCTCCCGTTTTTTTTGGCTGCATAATGTTGTTGCTGGTGACAAACAGCTCAGCTGACTCATTTGATTTCTTTAAATACAATCTGAAGGAAATTCCTCTCCGTGTGGTCACCGATAGGACCAAGAAAACCTCTCTGCTGTCGCTACACGTGCTCCATTACCTTTGCTTTTAAAGCTAATATTATCTGACAGCTGTATTTGTCAACATAAAGACTCAGGTTTCCCTCAACCTCACTTGTTGAACCCTTCCTATTTTGCGTGACAGACAGAATAAAAGAAAAAAAAAAGAAAAGCAATTTGTGAAATTGACAAGGACCTACTGCTGCGAGCTTCGTGCGATCAAACTACGTTAAGCCTCGTAGGGAAGCAAAGAAAAGGAGAAAAAAAAGACGGCAGGCATTTTAGCAATACCAATAGTAATGTTTATTACGACAACATCAGTAGAGAGAAAGAGAGAAAGTCACAAAGTACTGTGCAAGAAGAGGTCTATCGTTACAAGAGGTTTGTCAAACTAACACTTGTAAAATTAGATTTCAGTCATTTAGATTACAGGAGCATGCATTCAGGAGAAAAAAAACAAACAGCAGGAAGGTAAACCAACAGAACCCGAGTATAAAGAAGCAGAGAGAAGGCACATTCACATACTAGAATCAGTAGTTTTGGGGGGGAAATGACAAACTTGGACTAGAAGAAAACAGGTGTTTTGAATACAGAACACTTTGGAAAGTGTGGTTGAAAAGATAATTTAAAGAACAAGACAGGAAGCGTTAACCCTTTGAGGACCTGATAGGAAAGACTGGCACAAAAATCACTGTTTAAGGAAGATTAAGTGTTTTTCCCCAGAAAGTCGTTTAGGATCCATGATAAAGAATAAACAGATACATAAGAAGAGATTAATGCATCTGCTTGTAAAAATGTGATGCTGTTCAAGCACTCAAAGGGTTACAGAAAACAAAGAGGGCTATCGTACACCTGATATCCCAGAGGGGGGCGGGGTCTTAATTACATCCAATCACAGATGCAAGCACAGATTTAAAGAGACAGTATCCTTTTTTTCCCCTTTGCTACAGAGACTGTCAAAGCAGGTTAATGAACACAAACAATACATTTAATTATCAATTCACATTAGCCTAAATCTTTAACCTACACAAATGTCGATCACAACAAGACCAAAGAGTCTTTGAAGCCACAAAATTAAAGAATTCATATCCTTGTAATAAAAATACACTATTAAATCTGTTTGTATACATTTCTCCTTGGATTAAAAACAACTTGCAATACTTTTATGCATACAATGCTTATTCTGTACTGTGTTCTTGTCAATTTCACAAATTGAAAATAAATAAATAAATAAATAAAAGCAGGCACACTGCAGGAAAAAAAGCAAGGCAGGAAGGGTAACACTAACTTCATTACGTTCTGAGAGAGCAGGACCGTAGAGCCACACCAGATAAATTTATGCAGCCGTTTCACAGGACAAAAAAAAAAAAACTAAATAAATAAATCTGATTCCTCAAAAGGAACCTCACAAAAATACTGTCTCTTTAAGATTACAAACATCTCTTAAACACAGTGAGGTGCTCAATTTCGCTCGGCCCGCTACATTTAACGACATGTTAGTCCCAAAGCTCTCCAAAAACAAAATAATTTAAAGAAAAGTGGAGTGGAAACACTGGTTACTGTAGCATGATGTTTGTCTTTACCAGGTTCACTGCGTCTCTACAAAATCAGCTTTTGCTCTCGGTGCAGAAGAGCTGGACTGAAACAAGGCAAAGTGGGGAGGGGTTTACATTTTTATTCTTATCCTTTCTAAACTCCTCGGGTAAAATAATAATAATTTGGGGAATTCTGATCAGCATGAATGTTATCAGGTGAAGACTTTGCATCTTAGACTCTCAAAAACTGCCAGAATTTTTCAAATAAAAGCAAAAGCAACAAACGCTTGAGCTGCAAAGTGTTCACCTGCCAACCTGTGGATTGCAATGAAACGTGAGTCGTGATGTGGAGGTGAGATGCTCGACGAATAAATAATTAGGTTTTGGGGAGAGGAGAGAAAGAAGTGCTGACGTGTAAATTACCTGATGTTTTTTTTAAAACTGAGCTGATTTCCTTTTATTAAACTGACATTAACATGTTCACTGAAACACGAGGAAGAAAAAAAAGAGAGAGACAGCTTTAAAGACTGAATCTCGTAATTAGAGTCTTGTTCGATCCAAAATCACCGCACAGCTGGACTGAAAATACTGCAGAGCAACACAGTCATTTTTATAGATACAAAGAGAAACACATGCACTCACATTCAAGCACTCACATCTGAAATTTAACTTGCATCCAGTAATCTTATAAAAATCATTCTCCCCAGGTTCTGCATGCAGAATCTCTTAAGGGTAACCTTTCATTTCCAGCTAATCAAAATGATATTTCCCGGTTTGCCTTTTAATAACACGGCAGCTAAAATGATGCTTTTGTGAAATTTGGAGTGGGGGGATTGTGCAAAAAACATGATCTGAATAAATAAGAAGACCGCCACAGCGAACATCTTCATCTGGTAACACTGCTCGACGCGTAAAAGTCTGCAGACGCAACAAACGAGAGAGTAATCGAAGGTCGAACGCACAACCGCCGCCAATCTCATCTGTAAACTATCAAACCATCAAATTATCGTTATTATAACGTGTTCAGGGAAGAGAGGAGAGGGTAAACACTAAAAAGAAGAGAAGAGATGAATGAATGAATGAACAAATAAATAATTAAATAAATAAATAAATAAATAATGATGAGATGTAAAATGAAGCTTCTAATCTGATATGTCTTCAGAGTTTTGCCACATTTCTTTCTCGTTGACCTTTTAGTTTGGTGTTTTCTAAACGTGAGCGGCTCCGTCGAGGCGGAGAGGCTGGCTGGTTGGCCTCGAGTTGAACACTGTGCGACCCGTAAGGAGCCTCACCAGAGCAAACGCACTAGTTCCTCACCTGTAGCTGGGGGCTGGTGGGCCGAGAGGCCGGGCAGATCCAGAGAGCTGTCCGACATCACGTGCTTCAGTTCTCCCCCCATGTCCGACAGCTTCATGTCCAGCTGCACCGACAGCGCGTCCTCCGAGTCGTCCTTCCCCACGCTGCTGCCGCCGATGGACGGCAGGTCGAGGGACTTGACGGAGGCGGAGTCTTCCTTGCCGTGTTTGAAGGCGGACACCTTGTCCACCAGAGTCTTTTCCGAAGCCCCCAGCGCCGTGCAGAACTTGGACGACTGGAAGTCGGCGAAGTCGTCCGCGTCGCTCCTGAGGGAGGAGAAGGAGCCGCCGCCGCTCTCCTTGGCGTCGTCGTAGGAAAGGCCTCCTTCCAGAGACAGCTGCTTGAACACGTCGTACTTGTCGGAGCTCTGCTGGGGCTGCTTCGTGGAGGTCTCCGCTTGGACGCCCGCGCCACTCTCGCCTTTCGGCTCTCCACCAGAACTGCCGAACGCCATGAAGTCTGCGAAGTCGTCCTGAGGCGCCGCTGCAGCCCCTCCTGCTGCTGGAGCTTGAGTGGTGTCAGACGAGGAGCCAAAGAGGGCAAAGTCACCAAAATCATCTGCGCCTCCTCCTGGAGGTTTTGCTCCGCCAGGCAGGAGCACTAAAGATGGGGATGCAGACACAGAGGGGAACAGGTTGGGTTTTGTCTCAGTGGGGGCTGGAACAGAGGGAGCCATGGAGGAGAAAAGGTCCAGGTCGGCCATGTTGAGGGGGTTTTTGGGCTGAGAAACAGACACTGCTGGCTGCTGCTGTGGAAGTTGCTGTAGAGTCTGAGAGTTTGGGAAAGCAGAGGGAAAGGCAGGTTGAAAGATCTTGGCCTGATCGGACGGCTCTAGTGGAGAGACGCTGTCGGCGGTTTTAAAGTCTGTGAAGCTGTCATCAGTGTTGATGGACTTGAAATCTGCAAATCCTTCCCCTGGAAAAAAACAAAAGATTCACGATGAGTAAAAGGCAGAAACACACACAAAAAAAAAACCTCAGCTGCTACAACCAACTCAGTTTCATATCCTAAAAGGAGCGTGAGGTGATGAATTTGGCGCAGCTTCGGCTCGACTGAGGAAAATAAACTTCCAGTCTTGTGATGAACTGTGGGCTTGAAAGTGTTCAGAGCAGAGCACACTTCACTGCACAACAAAGAGCTTTGCTATATACAGACACACAACCTACAGGTGGTATTTCACTGGGCTGTGACTGTCGGAGACTCGGAATCGGGAGAAAATTTGCACATTTTCAGCTTAAAATCTGAGTATCTGCAACAGCGAACCACATTCTGCATGGCTAGTTTTTTAAAAATCAGTTTTTTTTTGTGTGTCAAGTGTAGCACAACTTGCATGGATCTAATTCAAATTTGCTTGTCTCTGTGATTTTCAAGAGAACTGAGTGCCACCTCGAGGTCGGCAGGATCTTCATAGTGAGGCAGCTTGACATCAAGGTTACTGCGTGTCTGCTGCTTGGTCTATAAGGTTATTTAGTCTTAAACAAGGCCTTTGGGACAAATTTTGAAAGTGGAAAACTGAATTATTTTACCTATTATTACAAAGCTAGGGTAAATTTGCTTCTTTAATCCAATAAAATTATCCTTTTCCTTTCATTTCTTGTAGTTTTTGTTCTGAATTAGAACGAATATGGGTCTATTTCTGTTTTAAGTGCAATGTGACGATGAGTGTGACAATTTCATGTTTCACTTTTTGAAACATTTATGTCACAAAGTTAATTTTGATACCTAGTTTGCCTGGGTTCTTTATAGGGATAGATAAATAAAAAAAATACAGAGAAATATTAAGAATAAAAAGTAGGTGAACAGTTGGAAAGGTTGTCATACGCTTGGAAATTTGGTGATGTTAAAATTAGTGCTAATTAGATGGGTATTTTCCAGGAGTCTGACAAAAAAAAAAGTTCTCACGCTGCCAGCTGATATTATCCATTATTTAACAAACCTTTATTTTATGTTTTGTGCTTTATGATTGACTGAATACTTTTGATGCATTTGAAGTTAGGGTGTGTTCTGCACCTACAGTCTGTCTTTTAAAGGGAACACAAGGTTCTACCTCTCGTGTTCTTGGAGACTTTTAGGACAAAATAAAGAAAGGTTTGAAATGAGTTTGAGATGCCGGCTACGATTCCCCAGCAAAACCTTCCAGGAAACGACCTTCTGACCTAGCAGCAGTCCCAGCCCAGTGAGATAGTATCTTACATCCACACTACCATGCAGTGAACAGCTGAGAAACTAAAACAGTAAAAATGTTTGAATTTAGTCATTTTCTTTGTCCGATGAACTGAAATCAATACCTAAAATGTATCAAACACTGTACAAATAAAAACTTTTGCATTGTTTTTAGTAGGAATGCACCGATATGAAACTTTCAGCCGATAACAATATCTGATATAATTATTGCTGTTATGGCCGATAACAGATATTTACCGATATTACACAAACACACAAATTATGTTAAACAAATACGCACAAACACACTTGGGTCTTTTTTTGATACCGTAACTAAATGATCAGACCTCTGACATGACTCCCTACTTCAGTTATTCCTGGCTGCACAGCGTCAATATCACTATCATGATCAAACAGATGTCGATCAACCAACCATCTCCCCTCCCAAAACAGAAACTAAAGCTAAAAAGTGGGAAGTCAATATTGGACGTTAATATCGGCTCAGTTTTACATATCGAACCGATACGATATTTGAAAAAATGATCAATATCGGCCGATACCGATTTCAATACCGATATATCTTTCATCCCTAGTTTTTAGGGATGCACGATATATCGGCATTAATATTAGGGATGTCCCGATCCAGATTTTTTGGCTTCCGATACAATCCGATTTTTTTAATGATTAGTATTTCCGATACCGATCCGATAGCTTTATTTCTTTATTTCTTTCCAAGTGACAAGGTTGGTAGTATTAAAGCGAGCCCTGCTGTTCCCACCACGAAAAACATCCAGTTTGCAGATTTTACAAGATGCAGTTTCAGCATCATTGTTTTCCATTGAAAAGTGTTCCCACACTGTGGACATGGTTACACACTTGCGTGCGTCTTGACTTCTTAACGGCAGTTGTGAAGCATGATGATGCTGAAAACTGTCGCCAAATTTAGATCGGCCCGATCACTTGACTAAATCCGATTCTACCCGATTTTCAAAAAAATGGCCACATCTGCCACCGATACGATACTGAGTATCTGATCGGGACATCCCTAATTAATATCAGTATCGGCCGATATTGGTCATTTTTTTAGAATATCGGTATCGGTCCGATTTGTAAAGCTGGGCCAATATTAACATCCGATATTGATTTCCCACTTTTTAGCTTTAGTTTCTGATTTGGGAGGGGAGATGGTTGGTTGAGCAACATCTGTTTGATCATGATAGTGATATTGACGCTGCACAGCCAGGAACAACTGAAGGAGCCATGTCAGATGTCTGGTCGTTTATTTACACTAATAAAAAAAGACTCAAGTCTGTTTGTGCGCATTTGTATAATATAATTTGTGCGTTTGTGTAATACCGGTTATCGGCCATAACAGCAATAATTATATCGGATATCAGCTGAAAGTTTCATATCGATGCATCTCTAATTGTTTTCAACTCTTCCATGAGCCAGTCAGATCCCAAAATGTCCTGAGTTTCAGCTGCTGGAGGTGTAATATATGCACAGAGTGAATAGAGAGTCTGTTCACGCTGCTGGTGTAGGGTGGAAGAGAGAGAGAGAGAGAGAGAGAGAGAGAGAGAGGTAACTAATAGGCTCATTAGAGAAGATGGAGCCTGACAATGCCAAAGAAAGGTCACTGCAAAGCATGACTTACTGGAGTTGTAAGAGCAGCCCCCATCAGAATCTGCTCTAATGGAACATGGACGGGAAACACAACTGGGATCAACACCGCGGACTCGCATACAACAAGGAACAACGTAAACACCGACAGATGGCATCGTGGTGACGCGACAGCTTCACCCAAGTTTTTACAAAACGTTTAACCCTGTCACTGATTCTAATTCTAGATTTCTTTCTTTAATAAGATGCATTACTTTCAGCTGACAGAACAGAAAGATTATGAAAGGTGAGTTTCTTACCAACTGGTTTCTTGTCAGCAGGTTGTTCCAGCTGTCTGAATACACTGTATTTATCTCCAACATCTGGATAAAGACAAAGAAATAATAAGAGGTAACACTGTCTGCTACGTTAAACCACAACTAATCGTTAATTAGAGTTAAAAAAAAAAGATTAGGCTGATTAAACATTTCCATTAAACAGACATCATTAAAGCTAATTGGGAATTTGTCTCTTCTGCATCACAATTTAAAACCTGTCACACTTTAAACATCTGAAGACGGTAACTGCTGCTATAAATGTCTGTGTTTTCAGACCTGGCTGTGCTTGGTAAAGGGCAGACAGCGCTGTGGGCAGCAGGTCCAACACGTTACCTGAGGCAGGAGGTGCGGGCTCTGAGGGCTGATCCACAGACAGCTGCTTGAACACAGCGTATTTATCGGTGGACGTGACCGAGGAAGAGGAGGAACCAGACACTGGAGTCAGCATGGCAGGAGTGCTGCGGGGACAGAGGAGCTATGATCAGACGTACTGACGAGTCCAATGACTTAATCTAATTACTGTCCGAGCGCAAGGAATATTTGGAGAGCAACAGTTATTTTCTTAAGACAGTCAAAACAAAAATACCTCCCTGTGTTTTACACAGAAAAATAACTCTCTATGGAAACTTATTGATTGATTTACATATTTTGCAAGTTCTGCTGCCTTGTCTTAAAAAAAGGACTAATAAAGCATACTTTTAAGGAATTTAGTGTAATAATAGCTACCATTTGCTAAAAGATGAACGCAAAAAACAAGAAGTGGGTGAGTAAATAAGTTAACAGACAACAGATGCGAGGCTAATTTCATATTTACAGACTTTAAAATCCCAAACTAAGGCTAAAGTGTAGCTAAATCATTTTACAGCACAAAATGATTATTTTTATAAAATATGAATATTTGACACTATCTCAACATTCACATCTGGAAAACAAAAGGTTACAGATTTATCAGGAAAACTCAGCATGCAGTTTACTGTAATTGCTTTTTTTGGGGTGCACGATAGTTATCAGCCGATGTCAGGTAAATTATGATGTCATACTTATCGGTCCAATATCATAACAAACAGAACCAATAATATATGTTCACATTTGCCAGCGAGGCGGTGAGTATGCGTGTTTACAGTATTTTTATCCTTTTTGGTCAAGCCGCTTCCCGTCCAGCACGACCGAAAAACCAACTTTCTAACCAGAAAAATAATTAAAATACTCCGTGCTGAAAAATAACCAGTCATTTTAAAAATTATTGATATTATTTTACCAATTAACCCCGTATGTTACACACAAACTTTATAACGATAAACATAAATAGGTCGGAACAACTACTCCCAATTTGAGAACGTGTAATGTCCGTTACCTCCTGAACGCAGCACTGAGTCCGTCTGCTAAAATGCTAACAACAACAAGCTAGCATTCAAGACCTCATCGGGACTTAAATCATTGCTGAGGCTTTGGACAAATCCAAAAAATTGCCAGCGAGGACGCCAATCTCGAGCACTTTAACGATGGAAATGATGATTTTTTTTTTTAATAATTATAAAAATTATTTAAAAAGATGGCCATTTGAGAAATTGTTTTCTTTGATACACTTTAAGAAATGTTTGTTTGCTAAGAGTTTATTTCAAATAATTTAATTTACAGTGTGATTTTTTTTTTTGGTCTTGTTTATTTATGTTATGATCTTACCCGTTTTTGTCTTATTTCCTGGCATGTTATCGATTATTATCGGTTATCGTCCGCTGGAAGGAGAAAGTTATCGGTATCGGTTCTTAAAATAAGTTATGGCACATCCCTAATTTTTTTAAAGGCTGTTATAAATGTTACAATTTAAACTTATCAGATTAAACATGAAAAAGAATGATCGTCTCCTGGCTGCACTGATACTCTGTACCTGCTCCGGTGAGCACCGCTGCTGGGAAAACTTGCTCCGGACTCCCCCTGAAAATCAGCGAAGGCCTGGTCTCCTGATCCTGCTTTCGGAGCCTCCTGGAAGTCCTGGAATTCGTCGTCGTCGGTTTTGGTCGCCTGCGTGAACGCCTTGTTAGTGAGTCAAATGTAGAATACAGATATATTTAAAAAAAGGCCTGCACAAGTTACCTGTGCAGGAGGGAAACTAGCGATGAAGTTGGTGTTTGCCGCTGGTTGCGCCGGCGCGGTGGGTGCCATAGCCATGACTGGAGCTGCTGGTGTGACCATGGACATGGAGACGGGGGGCTGGGTCATGATGGGCTGCTGGTGCTGGGGCATGACGGGGGCCATGGCCATGGCCAAGGCTGGCAGGTTGGGCACGGGCGGAGAGGGAAACTGACTGAGGATCTCCACATTCATGGCTGGGAGGCCACTCTGAAAGAAAACAGGTTTTTTTTCTGTTTATTCTAACAACAAATCATCTTTAAAGATCTGATGCATTAAAAACACATTAATGCTACAAGAAACACCAACAAAAATAATTAAACCAGAATTCTCCAGTATTTATATGCTTTTTTCATGACTTTTTATGCATGTGTCAATCTGAAGGCCCATGGGCCAAATCTGGCCCTCAGTAAAGTTTTATCCGGCCCCAATTTCAATACTTTAAATGCAAAAATATTTTGTCTCTGAATTTCATGCATTCTTCTCATGACAGTCAACTACAAAGCCAAAAAAAATAAGTTCAAAATTTTTAGTAATTTTGGAGTGGAACAACAAAGAATCAACTTTATCCGTTTCTGTATGCATTTTTTTAAAAGTTAGATCATTTTATTTATAGTGAGAGATTTTTTACGGATTTGCTGGACTGTTATAAAATATGTTTACAAAAATAATAAAAGTTGTTGATATAAGGTAAGAAATGAATGCTAATGATTCTACAATGCTAAACTTCATATGTTGTCTTTATCAATTAGGTTATTTATGTTCTATAAAACAAATTTTTAAAACGTAAATGAGTTCTGTTTTATACCTTTTTAAAGTTAACCTAGAAAAACTTCAGAAGAAAATTTTGAAGAATGTCAATCCAGCCCCGAATTCCAACTTTGTATTTATCCAAGCAAAGAATAAAATATTTACAATTAGAGCTCCTGAGAGCTGCGTTTACTCATTTAACAAAATCCCAATCATCTCCATTATTCTTTTCATAGTTTATTTGCAGACTTTGTCAACACTGTGTGATGTTCCACTACCAAAACTCAAAGTACACTTTTCCATAATTTGATGCACGTTTAATTTGTATCAAATCCAAACAATCAAGTTTATAACCCATTTGTTTGCCTTTATTTAAAGTATTAGATGAAACATCATTCATTTCAGTTTGTGGTCCAGCTTTTCTTTGTGACGTCACTATAATGTACTTGTTTTTATGTTTTTATCATGTAAAGCACTTTGACTTGTCTTATATTTGTTTATATGAATAAACTTGCCTTGCTTATGTTTTGTTTCAGAGCTGCTCAACAAGCTTCAGAACAAAGACTTTAGCAGGGCAGCTATAAATGTGCTTCAGTGCTTATAAATTGGCACTTATAATTTATTTTACAAGCGTTTCAAATTAAATTGTGTCTTCTTAGGATTGAATTGTTCAGTCGTAAGCGGAGCTCAGAGGCTGAAATCTGCTATGATTTAAAAAAAACAATGTTTGGATAAAATAATTTCTCCTGCAGGCACTCATATGTCCTAGAATGGAGTTTCGTGAGCTGCCTGCAGATTTACATCCTCCCGGGGGGAGGGGGGGTGGGTATGGTGACAGACTTGGACAGAAGATGATAAGAAGCCTCCTGCCAAACCGATCCGATGGGGACTTGGCCAAATACTGAGCTCGCAGCGCTTCGCAGGCTGTGGGGTTTATTCAGCTCTTCCTCCACTTCCAGCTCGTGTGATTTCAGCGAGGAAGCGACGAGGCTGATGGGGAAGATTAGTGAAGTCGTTCTAAGTGGATAATTAGTTGCGACGGCGGCGTTTACCTGCGCCACGCCAATTAGTGCCAGCACAGTGTAGAGCTCCTCCTTGGTCAGCATGCCAGGCGTTGTGCGATTGGCTGACGCCCAGATCTGCCCCAGCGCCTCTCTGGGAAGGCCCGACGACATTAATATCGGGTAGAGCTTGGCCGTGTCTATCCCTGCCGGAGTCATGGTGAATTCAAGAACTTTCTTAAACATGTCTGAAACAAAATAAATAAATAAAATAAAATAAAATAAAAATCCTGCAGCTCGTCTAAAACACGATGCCGCACACCAGGTCGGATCTGGAACGGCTTCAGAGGATGTTTTTACCGGGGACGAGGCTGTCGTTGTAAATCCAGGATGGCAGCATGGACTGGATGTGCTCTTGTTGTGGGTACACGCCAACGCCACCTGTCACACAGACACACACACACACACACAGAACAAACAGTCAGCTGCTACCGCTAAAGTCCTGTCCAAGCTGTCTGGCAGCTCGTATCGAACTCAACAAAAACAACACGCTCGACGTCTGGAGGGCTCGCTGCAGATGCACGCTCCTCCTGCACTGAATCACAAGAATCCTGCCACATCAGACGACAACAAATCATCCAGCTTCAAGGAGAGGAGAGGAGACTGCATCATGAGAAGGAAACAAATCTAATTTAACTACTCAGACATCTCTGAAAATCAAAACAGCTCGGCACATTCTGAAACCTTGCTTTTATCCAGGCTGCCACTTGGAACATAACAATCCAATCAGGCAGCTGAATGAATCTTATAACAAATCTGAGTGATGAGCTGCTGTATTTTATTTATTTATTTATTTACTTTACTTGATGACACGGAAGACAGACACGGGGAAAACAAATAACAGCACAAAGGAAATGCAGAGTAGCATGCACAATCAGCCCCCGGTGGCATCTGCCAGTCCATGCGCATCCCTGTTAAACCAAAGCAGTCAGCATGCGTCCGAGGTCGCTGTCTGGTTTTAAACAGAGGTAGCTTATTAGACAGCAGGCAGAACTCCAAGGTCTCACCAACAGAGACATACGTTACGTCAAAATATGAGCAGCAAGATAGAAAGGTATATGCATCAAACTCACTGCCCCTCTATAAAAAAAATCAGTGAGGATGAAAATGTCAGTTTGATTTGAAGGAAAAGCATGAAATGAAAATATGGTTTTATGAGCCAAACAGAGAAGAGGAGCAAAATGTTAAAAGTTAGAGAAATCGTTTCCCCAGGAGAGCCGAAAACCTTGATTGTTTGTTAATTCTGCTGCGAAGCGAAGGAGAGAAGCGGCAGCTATGGAGTCCAGTAAACAGGCATGAGTCTCACCGCTCTCACTACCGCTCTGAGCAGACGGGCCGGCGGCCGGCGGCGGCGGGCCGGGCCGAGACGCCGGGGCTTCTTGCAGACTTTTAGTGTCGAAGGTGGAGCTCAGGTCCTCAGCGGCCGCTGCCCAGTTCCTCGCTTTGGGGCTGGCGTGAAACTGGGACGAGACTTTAGTTCTGGGAGCCATTTGTGCCAAACTCTGCCTGGATTTAAAACTAACGTGAGCCGTTTTATCAGCGGTGAGATCGCACGAGGAGAAGAGCTTCTCTTCCAGTGACGGGCCTGGAGGGGTGAGTGAGGAACAGCCTGGTTTTAACAAAAAACAAAATTTGTTGTTTTTTCTTTGTAAAGTTGTGCTATTCAGGAGCTTCAGGGTGTTCTTAAAAACAGAAGAAATTATTTAAAGCTTAAAAAAATGCTAGATTCATATTATTTGCAAAAAGATGGTAGGAACTATTTTCTCAAAAGAAATTCTCACGGATAAAAAAAGTAACTTTTAGGAGTATAACTACAAATCTCCCCTGTATACAAACATGTTTATCTATTGAATCTTTTTGTTAGGCTTACAATATCTGACGAGATCAAGCATCTATTCAGCCCATCATTGTGAATTTAGCATTATTTTAAAAAGTCAACTCATTTACCTTTGTATTTTTAGTAGAACTAGGCAAAAACACATAGCAAGGGGAAGCTAAATATCACAAATAAAAAGCACAAGGTGGTCCTGAGACTCTGGAATGCTCTCCCTCTGTCCCTTTGCTGTTCAGATTCTGACTCTTAAGAAATATCTTAAGACATTTTTATTCAGGCAGACTTTTAGTTAAGTGTTTATTGTGGTTTATATATATA